TCTTTCCGTTCCCCTGCTTACTCTATCTGCATAGTAACAAGTTCGATTAGGTTTTCCATAGAAGGATGCCTGCTATTGACATTCATCTTTCATGCAGGAATGGGCTGTCTACAGATGAGGCATAATACACAATAAATGAGCAGATCACGAAGACCTTAACTATATCTGGTCCCAGTATACATAATGACATTGCACAATCAATAGTGTAAGCTCTCATCTTCCATAATATCAAATGAAAGGAAAGGCTTCCACAGTTACAGTAAATAAGAATTCCAATTATCCTTAGGCTCTCAGCAAAGTCAATAAAAGAGCTGACTGCATTTATTTCAATGTTACAATTACTTGTCAGCGGTTTAAGGCACTGCCCAAAAATGTGATCACAAAGATAAAAGATGCTCTTCAAAACTCAACTTTGTCTTGCAGCTTATTTTAAAAAGGTGCATCTCTCCTGTCTTGCTCTGTACAACTCATCTCCCTCTGCTGCCTTAGTGATATGCTGCTCTTCCCAACCCTGCTGTGGCAAATGCACATTTGGAAGGAACACCAGCCAATAACATCTTGGCACAGGGCCATAATTTTGCGTTCCAGTTGGCAGGCTGTACACCAAGACCTTGAGAGGCACATCAGTTACTCCTGTCTTTGGAGGCACTCATTGTAAAATGGTATTATCTGCTAACAAATAAACAACATCTAAACAATATTTTAGATCAAGCTAAATTGTGCCCTTCAAACATGGTATGATATTGCATTGTCAGTTAGTTATCTTAGCTTGTAACATAACACAGGGAACCTTGTCCCCTACGAGTGAATGTGTACATGCTGCAACAGGCTCAAAATGGCCTATTAGATTGCCTGCATGTATCCAGAATTATTGAAACAAAGCATTTGCTGAAGAGAAAACCAACAGCCAGGTGGACAACTGACACCACACTAACACAGGAGACAGTAGAAGAGAGAACTGAATCTTCGCCAAGGCCATCTGGGGAAATTTGATCTCATGGGTAAGGTTAGTGATTTTTCTAATTTCATGCCCTACAAATGGGACATATGTTTTTAACATCTCATGAGAGAGACCCATGTATTGCAAGCTATGTGATGTTAATCATGTCTGTTTCAAAAGTAATCCTGAGAAACATCTGTCAAGATTTAAGCCTGTGGTTCCAGCTAGTCTGGATATTCCAAACTCAAAGGCAAAAAAGTTAGAAGTTACAGTAAAGATGTCTTTAACTAGAACCTTTGTAATCAAAACCTGCAACAGTCATTTGTGGCAGGTTCTCATAAAAAAAAGATTTTAAATATGGTGAAGAAAGAAAGATTTCCTGCTGCCTTGGGATTTTGTTCTGTAACATTGACTTTGTCTCTTTTTAAAGTTCTGTCCCTGCAAAAGTTGCACCTACTACTGAGATGGCAATAAACTATTCTATCACAGCTTCCCCAAGTATATTTTAACTTCAAATTGAAGGAGGATACTGGTGATGTGAGTAGGTCTGGAAAAAAGAAGTAATAATTCTACTTCATAAGTAGACAAGTTTGTCCCATCCATGTGCGGCACATAACACATAAGTCAGTTAGATATTTTGACAACCTCATGGTAGATGAAAACTATAAACTTGGCCAACCACACAGATCTAAGATTTCCATGATATTCTTTACTATTATACAAGTACTTTTTATTGTATTAGGTCACATCTAGATGAGCCCGACTGTGCAGTATGTGGCACTGCAGACTCTGCACTGCAAGGCAGCTGGGGGGACGGTTGCTCCATGGTTATCCAGAGGGCAAAAAAACAGTGGAATAAAAAAAACCAAAGTGGCATATGCGGGGGCAGCATGCGCCGCTCAAAACTTCAGCCTGGCCAGCTGGAGCCATATTCCAGCTGCCTTCCAGGCTCTGTGCACCTGGATCACAGCTGCTGCAGCCCTGGGAAGCCCCCAGGACCCTGCGTAAGGCTGCTGGGGCCAGCCCAGTGCTAGCCCCAGCCTCCCCTACCACCCCTGGGGTAACTTGCCGCATGCCAGAGGGAACATGGCACAGGCATTCATGGATTCATAGATGCTAGGGTTGGAAGGGACCTCAACAGATTGAGTCCGACCTCCTGCCTAGGCAGGGAAGAGGGTTGGGGCCAGATGACCCCAGCCAGATGTCTATCCAGCCTTCTCCTGAAGACCCTCCAAGGTAAGGAACAGCACCACCTCCCTTGGAAGCCCATTCCAAATTTTGGCCACCCTTACCATGAAGTTTTTCCTGATGTCTAGCCTAAAGTAGTTGTCCCTGGGGAAACAAATGTCCACACATATGGACACGGCTTTACAGCTGAATATCCCTCTCCTCAGGGTACGTGCAGATGTTACATACAGATCAACTGGATCTGTGCAAATATTTGGGGAGGTTAAATCAGGCAAAAAGTGGCTGGCCTCATCTAAATTAGTTCACCTGAGGAGGTAAACTAGGTAAAAGATGCTTAGACTTGGAATGGGTTAGCCTGATCTACTGAACGTCTGCACACATTTGGAGTGCAGTCCTGGGGCTGTGCTTGTCCTATTTGCCCTGTCCTGACTGGCTAGTTTTAGCCCTCACACCCTACCCCCGAACAGATAAACCTGCCCCGCTTTGCAGACCCAGCAGTGCTCTCTGCAGACCTGCTAGCTCAGGGGCAGGCAAAGTCCAGCCTGTGGGCCAAAGTAAGCCCGCAACAGACTCCATTTCCCAGCAGCCCCTGCCCATGTTGCTCTGGCTGGTTACCATGGAGACCCCAGAAGTGGCGGGGCGGTGACAGCGTGGGGCCAGGGTTTCTATGAAGATTGACCCGAGCAGCACTAGCAGGGCGTGTGGCTGGGCGGGGAGCTGCTTTGGGGCCAGGGCCAGGATTTTGCAGCAGTGACAGCATGGGCCGGGGCCGGGGCAGAGCTGCGATGTGCTGCCTGCACACCCTGTGTGCAGTGGCCCCAGACGTGTGCAGGCCTCAGATTGCAGCTCTGCCCCGGCCCACACTGTCATCACTGCAAGATCTTAGCTCTGGACCTGGACCAGCTCCCCACCCAGCTGCATGCCCTGCCAGCGTGACTTGGGCTGGTCTACATGGAAACCTTGGCCCCACGCTGTCATGGTGCTGCTGCTCCTGGGGTCTCCATGGAAACTGGCGGGAGGGCAGGGGCTTGTGGGAAATGGAGTCCAGCTGCCAGCCAGATCCACCATTCTGCCCACCCCTAAGCTAGCTCCATCCTGATCCTACCCGCCTTTGCCTCACCCCGAATTACTTAGATCAGGTTCCTTGCATGGCTCCGGCACAAGCAAACACGTACACAAGCCATTCCCAATCTATGATCATGCAGCTTAAAGTAAGCCATGTGATCATAGATCAGGTACAGCAAATGTCTGCAGGTCCCCTTAGGAATCAGACTAAAGGGGAAAGGACACAAGTACATTCAGTCTACTATACTGACTAATGGTTGTTTGTATTCGCTTCCTCACTTTCAGAAGAAACAAAGAAACTACTAGAGTTCTGCTGCTATTGCTGTACAGTATGAAAGAAAAGAACAAGGAACATCTTACTTTTTCAGTGACAGCACGAGCACATTCTATCAACTCCCGTTTGGTGTAGCTGTCTGTAGGGCAAATCTGGAGAGCTCCAGCTTTCTGAACCAGAAAGATACATCCATGACCAAGTTCCTGCACCCGGGTCCTGATCTGGAATCCTATCTGCTTAGGCAAGAAATTGCAGGAAGGGGAGGCGAGAGAAAAAGATGCTTAGAATATTAAGTATGTGCATAAACAGAAATGCTTATTTTCCACAAAGGCAGATATAAGAGTCATATCTGACATTCTGTATTTTTTCTATATACAGCTAAACCCACAAGTGGTGTCATACAGAAGTGCTCATTTAATGGGAGTTCTATTCAACAGGGCACAGGGGATTAAACTCTGGCTATAAGTCTTCCGTGATTTACACAAGGCATTTGTCCCAAGTCTAATTTATGCATTTCTAAAACACAGTAGAAACTTCACAACCTTTTCCCCCTTCCCAGTGTCTATAACAGTTGTTCTGTTTCATCACTAAGGGCATTTATACACATACCTTTTTGTCCCGTGATGCACCAGAGATCTTTTGGGCAGGAGCAGACTTGATTAATTGAGTTTCTTCCGTGTGCAAGCTAATGTGCACTGAGCTGCAGCACATGCAGTTATATAAGTGGTGAAAGGCGTGTCAGCATGCAGAAAATGGTGGTGGTATGCATTTGAACTAAAACACCTTGAAGGTATTTTAGTCAAAAAATACACCACCATCATTTCCTTAGCGCTGATGCGTATTTCAATGCTTATACAACTGTATATGCTGTAGTGCCGGACGCTTTTAAAAGTACTTGGTGCTGTGGCGTGAGCGTGTGTACAAACGCCCTAAGGGCTCAAAGCAAAAATGAATGTTTTCTATATAAGCTGCCAAGCAAAGGATGTCCTAAAACTGGGACTGAAGAATATGTAACCTTAATGTTTTGGGTACCTTAATTTTATTCACAGTTGAATATAGCACAAATTCTTGGCTGTTTATTTATATCACCAGTACAGGCAACCCCCGCTTAGCACTCGTAATTGGTTCCTGAAAAAGTGAGTGTTAAGTGAAACGAGCATTAAGTGAAACTGAAAGTATTTGATGACCCAAGATGGAGACCGTAATAACCCAAGATAGCGACTGCAAGCATTATAAGGAAACTCACTGAGTGCTAAGTGAAATCAGGTATCAATTTCAAATGAGCGTTATAGCGAAATAGTGCTAAGTGATACAGTGTTAAGCGGGGGTAGCATGTACTTGGCATGTCCATGTGAAATGGCCAACCGTACTTATACCTGGAAATGATCCACTGCATATCTTCTTGAAACAGAAACCAGAAGTGATGTCTCAACCACAAAAGCTAATGTTAAATTTTAATACTTACATGTATGTGTACATATAAATTTGTGGTTTGGTTAATAAATGAGTAGGAATAACACTTATTAATTTCAATAAAATGTTTCTTGAAGCTGCTGTTAATGTGCATTATTTTCATGAATGAATTGCCATTGTGCCTAACAATATTAATGCTGAATATAAACCATTATTTTTGATTTAGCCATTGAGTGTCAAGAATATTTAAAAGACTGAAGTGAATTGTCAGTGATAAGACATAATTAGTAAGTGAAAAGCTTTTTGAAGGTCTTTTGTCTTGATAATCTGATACATTTGGTAATCTGGCAAGATACACTGCATCGTGTCAGGTTTTTGTATGCCGGGTAACCAGAGCAATTTAATGAAACACAGAAAACTGATTCATTCACTTTATCTTAGATCCTATGCAGCACCTAATGTAAACAGCCACTAGAAAGGAGGCAAATAGAAAAAAATGCCTTTGTTGGCACAACAGCCTGAGAATTTATGGGAAAAACTAGTTATCTTCACTAGTTCAAAGATGCTTAAATCAAGTCCTACGTAAAAAGGGTCAAGAAGGAAAAAAGATCAGGAACAGCATTCCAGCCTCTGTGTCACTCTCAGTGCATTCAATTTTATATGTGAAATAGTTTGAGGATGTTTGTGATGCATCAAATCAGATGACCCTTGAGGAAGTGCTTTGCTGAGAATAATTAGAGAACTGTCTTTTCAAGTTGCCTACAAGCAGTTTGAAATTTTCCAAGTTCTTGTGGAGGTTAATTCTTGGTCTGCAGAACATTAAGTAATTTGTTCCAAGTACTTCATATTTGAAGTTGAGTTGAACTTTTGATTGAATGCTTCAGTTCACAGACTTGGGGAGGAACTCCTGTAATTAGGCTTGTGGTGTGAATACAGGCACTTACAAATTAAAACCTTGTTTTAGATAGTTCCTAACATTTGCTAAAAAAATGCTGATTTATAAAATTCCACACAGAAAAGAACTTACTGCACAGAAATTTCAGAGTAAGTGAGAACAACATTTGAACAGCAGAAGTTAACAAAAGTATTCAAGGAAAGTGTTCTATAGTATTGACCTGGTTTGCCTTTACTTCCTGTGCAGAAATGTTTTTTTTTTCTATTGATGTACCTAAATGGTATTGTGCAAGGTTGTGAATGAACTGTGAACAAATCTAACAAATTGACCTGTTTTATTTAGCTAATTAGAAATTTAGGCGGTGAGTGGTATAAAATACCTATGTTAGTTAGCCCTATGTAACCAATTTATGAAAAAACCGCAGTGCAAACAAAGATGGTAGTCTGAACTTTATGCTAGTAGGACAGGTTGTAAACATTTTCTATTAACTCCCCTTTTCCCCACTGAAAGCAAGAGCATCAAAGCTTTTACGTGGTTATACATGCTGTTGTGATCCTAGGTATGATCATAAAATGCATCTGACTGGAGGGCCTGGTGGCAATGTGGTGGGGCTGCTCATGGCGGGGTAGCTCCTACAAAATACCACAATGTTGCAACCTCCAGAACAAGGCGAGTATAGGGCACCTCAAAACCCTAGCTCCACTGCCTTGGGAGTACTCCTTGGTTGGAGAAAGACTAAAGGACATCATCCTGACAGAAACATGCCCTCACTGAGGCATTAGGCAGTCAGCAGCAGTTCTTATCTGTTGCTCTCTGGCAGAAACTACAACCATTGAGGCAATGAATATTTGGACTCAATCTGGCCTTTGGATTCTCTCTCAGTGGTCTACAGAGGGGATGGTAGGTTTTATATCTATACTGCACCTATGACTCTGATCCAAACTGTGGACCAGGCTGTATAATATAATGCTTAGGCCAGTGGAGAATGTTTTAGAAAATACAATTCCATATATTTTTCTATCCTACATTTCAAAAGTCTGCTGGACAAAAACTGCATTCCCTACATGATGGACTGTGCAGTCTGTGTGGACATTATGGGCATACCAATAAACAGATGGTTGACAAGATAAGTACAGTGAATAGACTTTTCCTGTTTAGAAACTTATTTACTGTACTCATTTTAGCATCCACTTAGATATTTGAGAGTAACCACTCTCATTTCCAGATGGTTGTAAACCTACTCTCCGTCTGACTGAGAAAAATCAGACTTGGGGATGCATGCAGCTGAATTATAACCACTGCAGCATTCCTGTATGACAACCATTTAATCACACTATTTTCATTTTATCCCTTATGTTACACAGTAGGAGCATATTTGATATTGACAGCACTGTGCGTTCAGTTATTAGAGGTCTAAAAAATAGCAGACCTCCTCTGGTTCAGCTGTGGCTGCTGCCATTCGGCCCTGGAGAGCCAAATGCCCATAGTCATTGGTCATTTGTGATGCAAGTCCGCCCAATTCCTCCGGGTTAGTAACCGACTTAGTCATCTGAAAAAAGAAAACAAGCAAAAGAAAAAAAATGACAAGCATGAGAACAACTTGTTAATGCTACACACCAGCACACTGACTTTTTTTGTCACGCTGAGGATGAGATGACTGCTTTTACAGTGATTCAGTTTCCAGCTAGAATTCTTTGAGCCAACCTCAAGCAAACATGCTTTTTTAGAACCACGGTAACTAAGAACTCACAGAACACATGAAGTAATTGAGGAACAGTTAGGATTGGTAAATCACTCCTCACACAATAGGGAACAGGACTACTGAAGAGGAACTCAGTATGTTTATCTTGCTAGGTGAAGATGGTTTCAGATGGGATAAGCAAGTCACTCTCAGCCAGTTCTCCTAGCCATGCTGATGGAGACCAAGATGTAGCTCCATGCAAAAAAGGAAGTATACTAAAGACTGATATAAAATATACATGACCTATCAAAAGGTGAGAGAAAGGCAAGGAAAAAGCCCTGGAACGATACTAAATGAAGAGATTTTGCTTTTGGTAGAGCATCAGCACAAGTACTGAATATCTTTTTAAAATATGTCTCTCCTACTGAAGAGATATTTTTTCCTCTCACACAAGCAAAAACTGGTAAAATAAAGAAATTCCAGTCTTTGGGCAAAACCATAAACTAGTCTTTTTGAGGTCTTCCTGTGTTGAGAGAAGTACAACTAACTGATGAAATTACAGCCTATGACCTGCATAGACTGCCTTTCTTTTCTGAAACATCAAAACATTCCCTTGCATGGACCTTAAAAAAAAATCCCCCCTATTGTATACAATAATATAAACTTTACTAAAAAAACAGAACAAAGGAGTAAAGCCTCAACAACTGAAGTATTCTTTGGTAAAAGATCAAAATGCTTTACTATCATAACTATTACTATGAAATATTAGAACTAAGTTTAGCCAAGAGACTTCCTCTTCATTTTTCCCCCAACTGAATCACATCACAAGAATTATGTAAGAAAACAAGAATTTGACCTTTTGTTGTTCGCAAAATGAACAAAAATCAGTTGTCACAGGGTCTTATCTCAATCAGAGCCAAGGTTAAAGAATAAATATCAAAGTGAAAAGGGTTAATTTATGTCAGCAATAAACCTTGAACAATATTCCAACAACATAAAGATACTCCAATAACTATTTTTGTTTTTCATAGAAAGTAAGCCTCATGAGAAATACCGAACCTCACATTCCACCAATACATACATCTCATGCAAAATAACCACTGTCAGCACAAATTATTAAATTAGAAGGCTTTCCTAGTAACAGCTGCTGCAGACTCCTAACCAGCAGCTTCCCCTTCCCTTTTAAAATAGTTAAAATGTACGTTTGTCCACCCCACAGGCCTACTTAAAGACATCTATAAAGTGTTAACAAGCTGCTAAATGATCAAACTAACAGATTGATTTTAGCTTGGTCTCCAGTGGTCAGAAGTTCTCCGATATAAAATATTCTGGCATATTCAAAACTTTTGTTTCAGGACAGGATCAGGTCATAGATCAGCTTAAGGAAAATCTTATTCTAGGATGAGGGGAAGGGCACAAATTAATATCACTGACCTAAATAAATTAGGACCAGAAAAGATGCAGCAAACTGGGCTTTGATTTGTTGCTTTTTCCAAAATTTTCTCACCTCAATGGTCAACACAGCTTTCTTTTTGATTCATTTTATTCACTTCTGATTGCTGTATTCCCATCCGCTGGTAGAAACTGTTGGTTACTGGCTAGCTAGTGCAATCCTCTTAAAATGCTCCTCCTGTTTTCATATCTCATTCTTTTGGACAGCATCACAGACAGAACAGTGTGTAAACTTTTTAAAGCTACATCTTCTGAGGTAGTCAGACTGGAATTCAGAGGCATATGGCACTCCTCCTCCAAAGGACCATTTCTGCCTATCATGCAACCAGGTTCTAATGATTACGCTTATGAGATGCATCACAGCTCTTTATTTTGCTTACCCATAGAACAGACAAAGCAGTCAGAAGTCAGTTACAAGGGTGAGCCTCAAGTAAGAACTGATTCAGCCTAACATCCAAAAGAGTGCTTCTTGTTTCTGCCATTCATTTGGCACATCTTATCTAGCTATTATATATTAGGCCTCCTCATTTCTTACCATTTCTTGGGCTGTTACAGCAATTGCTTTAGAATACTTCACCACAGTTGTTTGGTAATCAACAAAAGTTCCCTTTGGATCTGGAGGAGTACCCTCATCCAACTGTGGAGAGAAGGGAAAACATGAAAGCAATGATAGGTACATGTGACCTATATATAAAGTTTCCATTCTAATACTAGATTGTGCAGTTCATAATTATGGATCTAATACTCCAAGAGGCAGATCAAAGCATAGGAAAAGCCAGTGTCCTGGTATATTGGTAGCTTTATGCAACTTGCATGGAGTATGCAGTTTAGTGCCCAAAAATTTAAGCTTAGATTTTCTTTACAAATTCAATCCATTTATTATTCCCTGACATGATTCCTCCTACACATGAAAATGATTGGACAGCGTTTGGGAGAAGGATCATTCACTTAAATAAATAACATTTTTAATTTGCATGCTTTTAGAGTCAGACAAATAACAGACCGAGTACAAATTCACGTTCACAATAAATTCACAACTCATTTGTATTATACAATTATTACACCATTCATAAAATAACTTTTGCAAAGCAGTAAACTACTTCAACACCCATCACCTGCCTTCTGAAACCAGTGTGTTCCAAGAGATGGGGTGATTGGTTATATCAGATAACGATTCTTCAAATGTGGCTTCCCTGACCTTTGTTCCTGAAGTTCACTTTGTTCCTGAAGCCCCCCATCACTGTCCAAAGATGAAAAACCTGAATAGAAGCCAATATGACTTCTTTATTTCAGCACAGTAAATATATCCCTAGTTCAAGCTATAAGTTTGCATGTCTGTATCTATTCTCTATTGTGAAATTTATTTTTTGAGAAAATATTGTACAGGACTGGTAGGACTAAGGGGTGTGCTTCTGTCAGATTTCAAAGAGAATGATAATTAGGGGTGAGCCAATAAAGATTTTTTGGGCCAGTACTGATGGCCAATTATTAATAAGTCATGTTGGCCGATACCAATCCGACTGCCGATATGCGAGCCCAGCAGCTTGGAGAGCAGTGTCTGGCTGGTAAGTCTGTTGTGGGGAAGGGATGGGGGGTAGAGAAGGGGCATGGGGGATACAGATTGAGGTACTTGTGGTAAGGGAGGGAGTGGGGTTGGGGCTGGGGTAGGCGCTGCCCAGCCAGGGCGGGCCATCGGACTGAGGTGCAAGCGGCTCATCTGGGCAGCGCAGACGCACACACACACACGGCTCCTGCTACTGTGTGCACCCCCAGGGGAGGGATGGGAGGCATGTGACCCCTGGATCTGTGCACAGGGCAAGAGCAAGAGCAGGCTGCTGCTGTGGGCTGGGCCCAGGGGTTGTGCCAGGCTCTTCCCAGTAGTGGGACTGAGCCAGGGCTGTGCTTGGGGCAGATGGCAGTGGCGCTGAGAGTGGGGGCTATGGCAAATTTTGGGGTGGCTATAGCATATAGCCCCCCATAATCCCTCCTCCCAGTGCCGCCACTGCCACCCACCCCGAGAGCACCCCTAGCCCAAGCCCCTGCCGGGAAGAGCCCAGTGCTACCCCTGGCCCCAGTTTGCAACAGCAGCAGCCTACCTTTGCCCCACACACAGATCTCGGGAGTACATACCCCCCATGCCTCCCCTGGGAGTACGCACAGATGTGGGAGCCACCGCCGCCCCCCAGACAAGCTGCTTGTGTCTCTGTCCTGTGCCCTGCCCCACCTGGGCAGAGCTGGCCCCTGCCCCAAACTCACTCTCTCCCTCACCACAGGCGCCTTGATCTGCAACCCCCCACACCCCTTCACTCCTCGCCTCCAACAGATTTACCAGCTGGATTTTGTTCTCATTGCTGCTAGACTGCATTCCTGGCCATGTGCATGCTGTGGCTACGCCTATACACGCAACATTTATCGACGATATTATCGGCCACGTCAGCCAAAAAAAGGCCGATTGCCGATAATGTTAATTTTCCTTTTTGCTGGTGCCCATATGATATGGAACGACATATCAGTGTGCCTCTAATGATAATGTGTACAGATTTAAGAAAACACTCTTCAATTGCTAAACTTTCTTTTTGTTTGCCCTTCCTAAAAAGGTTCACACCTTGGTTGATAGGCAAATAACTTTCAACTCATACCTTTATTTTTGGTTTATTTAAAGCTGGTCCCTTTTGTACATAGTGTTATGTGTTAAGGTTTGTTCGGTCTCTCCTTCATGTTTTCTCTCAACTTAATCCTCCTGTGAACTTCAGAACCTTGAGGTTGCTTCAAAGTGAAGGTCTGAATGAGGAATTTTAACCTCCAGGAGAGGTAATAATACTTGGTACAGTCTCTACAGAAGTCTTCCCTAATCTCATAACTCTGATGGGATCTGGATCTGGATTTTGGATGGGAAGATTTTCACAACAGTAGACTGATATACCATTGCAAATAGATAAATAAATTATAGACTGCTAACTTCAATTAAAGTATTTGCAGTCTAATATGCTGATCTGGCAGCCAGGAGAAAAAGAAAAAAAATTACTTAGTGCCTTGATTTATATCAGGGGTGTCAAACATATGGTCTGCTGGCCAGATCCAGTCTGTAAAGCTGGGTCATTCCACCCACAGCCTTGTTGGGGATGACTTTCCCATGGCTGTAGCCAAGTGCCAGGGTGCTAGAGCCCCAACAGCACCGTGAGAAGAAGCCTGATGCTTTGGTGCCATTTCCATGGTGGCAGCTAAGTGTTGGGCATGCTGGACCTCTTCTCATGAGGCCCTGAACTGGAAGGTGGTTGCAGGGGTGGGGGTGTCTCTGGGCTTGATCCGGCCTGTGGGGCCAGCCGTGTACTATTCATCTGGCCTGCGGACCAACCCTGCACCCAGAGGCAGATTAATGCACGGGTCTGTGGGGCTTGGGTCCCAGGGCCTCTGCCAATCAGGGGCCCACGGATGCCTGGGTTCCCTTGGGAAATGGTGGGTTTCCCTTTGCAGGCAGGCAGCGTTCTAACCTGCAAGGGGTCCTGCTTGGTGCTGCTGGGAATAAGACGCAGGGGGTGCTGTGTGCATGTGCATGACTACATGCATACATGTGGCCAGGAAGACAGCCAGGCAGTGTGGAGAGCAGCTCCCTGTAGGTGAGTCTATATAGGGGAAAGAGAAGGGGAATGGGAGAGGGAAGGGGCAGATCAAGGCCCCTGCAGTGAGGAAGAGAGTAGGGGAGGGTCTGGGGGTGTTGCCCAGCCAGGGTGGATCATGGGATCTGGGGCCAGGGTGGGGAATGGGATGGAGCCATGGGGCTTTTTACTCTGCTGCCTTGGCTCCAGGTGTCCTATGCTGGCCATGCGGCTCCCTGCCCATCCAGCAGCAGTGGAGGTGGTAAGTTGTGCCTCCCATTGACAGGTTGGCAGGGGACATGCAGCTGGCGTGGGGCCCCCAGGGAAAAAGAGCAGAGAGCCCTGAGCCCATAGTGGGCAGCCTACATCCACCCTCTCCCTGCTTGGCTCTGCTCTAGTCATGCCTGGGGGTGGGGGGAGAGAGGGTGGGGAGCAGGGAGGAGAGGTAGGCATGTTCCATCCCATTCCCAGCTTGGTCGGGGCCATTCAGCCTCCTGTGTGGCTTGGAGGCCTGCCCTGAGGAGGGGAAGGGGCCCATCTCCCCCACTGAAGTACAACTACCAGGACCTGTGCAGCTCCCAGGACCAGGGGAGAAATGGTATGACATGGTTATCATGGAGTGTGGGGGGGCTTCCAATTTTCTGTTTGCCCAGGGCCCCAATAAGTTTTAATCCATCAGTGCCTGTACCACTCATCTGGCTTGTGGGGCAAATGAGTTTCACACCCCTGAATTCCATAAGGCACCCTAGATCTAGGCCCCCAAATTTAGGATTGAGGAGACCAGGCTGTCAATCAAAGAGACACCAGCATTTTTCCTTAACTGAATATCAGATGTGTACCTTTCTTCAAATATTTCAGGAACTCTTTCATGTGTCGCTGTCTAGACCAAGTAAGGCAAAAGAAACTTAAGTGAGGATGCTTCTGAGAAGTCACCGCTTCTTAAATGAGATGGAGCTTACTGTCAAAGCAGAAGCCTTGTCAACTCTGTGTCTCGGCCCAAAAATCTGTAGAACAGAGAGCTCTGCCTAGTCCAGAGCACAAGTTTTGGCTCTGTGATCAGGTTCTCTGATTTGGAAGAGCATGAGCCTGGCACTGGGGTTTACATTCAGGGTTGTACCAAGCCATCTACCTTGCATACTTGCAAGCACAGGCACACAAGACTTATTCCTCAGCAGCTGCCATTCTATTTAAGGAGGTGGTATAAGCATCCCCGTAATAAAAATGGAAACAATGTTGTAATATTAAAAGAAGGTGATTTCAGTGCTAATGAAGTAGGCAGATTAAAATGTTGCAACATAAAATTACTGGAGCTTCCAATTTTTGCTTAGTTTCTTACAACTTTTCACATCACTTGATAATTGCACATATAATTCTACTCACTCATGTTTCTCTCTTTTGAAGATGAAAGAGCTCTCCCATGTGCAAGCACTGTTTCACAGTTAGTGCTATTCATCAACTAGTCTGATGGATTAATGTTGTAGGCAACCATTTCAAGGGGTTGGACTACAGCGACCTCCTGAGGTCCCTTCCAACCCTAGTTTTCTATGATTTGGTACACAAGGCTGATTGCCCATTTAAATTACATTTAACATTTTCTCTCTGAACCATTTCCCTGGTATTGTGAAGAGACCATTATATTCAATGTAATTACTGCCCTGATTATCTAAAGCAGTGGTTTTCAATCTTTTTCTCATTTGTGGACTCCTAAAAATTTTCAAATAGAGGTGTGGACCCCTTTGAGACTTTTGAATGGTGGTGCAGACCCCTTTGAATTGTAAGGGTGGATATTCACATACTTTTGATTTATCACAGTCATCTTTCATGGACCTGTTAGATATAGTCTACTGATCCCCAGGGGTCTGCGGACCACAGGTTGAAAACCACTGATCTGAAGTGACTAATGCTTTCCTTCTGGGTACATCTGAGGTTTCCAATACTTACCTTGTTCATTGCCTCAGCTATTGAATCTACCATTCCTCCAACCAAGCCCACTTCACTGGCAGCTTCATTCAAGGTAACCATTATATCATCCACAGCCTCCTTCATCAGTTGGGCAGCCTCTGTGATAGCATCATGAGTGTGTGATGCCTGTACAGGAGAGAGTAGGGAGGAAGAGAAAATATTAAGGGTTCCATCTGTGTGGGAGCAGATAGTTGGTCTGAAAATATTAATGTTATGGCAGCAACCTTATGGTGGTTTTGAAATCACATTTCAACCTACAAATGGAAAAAAGTCAATTAGATATCAATATTGAATTAGAACGTTTATAGAAGCAAATGCTCACTCACAGCATATACAGTGAATTCAAAATCTTTAAAAATGTAACAAGCCCTTCTCCCTAAAAGATTAGGAAAATGATCATCAGTAATTGCAGGAGAAATACACAGAGAAGGAAGGTTCAAGAAACAGTCTCCTTTTTAAAGCATGGGCTATAGGTGCAGAAAAGACCTTATTTCTACATTTTGTGTAGACTCCATAAATTGTAATGCCATGCTGGTCTAATTCACTTCCATCAGCATCATGATATGCAAAAGACACTGGGTAAACTACAGTTTTGATCCTTTCTAACAAAATCTTTGATGCTGCAATCTGTATTAAGACCCCTATAAACCAAAGGTAGTATAGTAAGTAGTGTTTTAATAAATAAACACTAATAAAACAAATATTAAGGAAGAATTTCTTTACTGTCCGAGCCCCCAAGGTCTGGAACAGCCTGCCAACGGAGGTGGTTCAAGTGCCTACATTGAACACCTTCAAGAGCAAACTGGATGCTTATCTTGCTGGGATCCTATGACCCCAGCTGACTTCCTGCCCTTTGGGCAGGGGGCTGGACTCGATGATCTTCCAAGGTCCCTTCCAGCCCTAATGTCTATGAAATCTATGAAATATATCTAGTTTATGCCAAAAAGAATTTTAAGAACGAGCATTACCAGAAAAAATATTTTTTAACCAGATGCTGTGTGGAAAGTGTCATGCACATGTGCAATTAATAAAGTATTCTGTAGGAGTTAAGACTCTTGAGAGATTCTTTAATGACTATTTCTTGACACAGGTAATTAATCCAGACTTCAGTAATCAAAAACCCTCATCATTTGATTTGGGCCAAAGCAACAAGCTCATTTTGCTATTCAAGTGAACCATGTAATCAGTGAAAACTGAAAATTGAGGCAGAAATACAGACTCTTTTATTTAACTCTAAATGTAAAAGAAGAAGAAAAAAACCTAAGGCAATGAGTACACTTCTTCTTTTACCATTTATAGATCTCAGGTGTAGAGTAAAATTATAGTATTTTTAGTTTGTCAATTATAACCTGAAGAAAACAACAAGTTTTAATATAAAATGTAAACATGGAAATGATACTGGGTTAAGTTTTGCTCAGTGACATTTGTGTAAGGATCTCACAGTAGACTGCCCACTGTTTTAGATGGAGAAATATTTGGCATGTGTAGCATTTTGCAATCTTAATTATTGTTTGAACACTGGCTTATTAATCTTTTAAATGTCCTAGAATGGAGGCATTACACTGGTTTTAGTGAAGGAGTAATATGTCCTGCATCAAAGTGATACAAGCTGAAACAATACTGAAGAATTTCTGGCTCCCACTTCTGAAAAGGCCACGCCTGAAACATTTTAGCTAAAAGTAGTTTCAGAAGAGAAGTTTTCCATGGCTAGTATAATACCAAGTGTAAGTTTTAAGCCAGGGGTGGGCAAAATAAAGCCCATGGGCTGGATGTGGCTCGCCAGGCCATTCCATCCAGCCTGTGGGACCCCTAAAAAATTTAGAAAATTAATGTTTATCTGCCCCTGGCTGCCTGTCACGCAGCCCTCAATGGGTTGCCAAAATTCAGTAAGCGGCTCTCTGCTAGAAATAATTGCCCACCACTGTTTTAAGCTGAAGCACAGAAATACATCTTTTGATCTATTTCTAACATAAGATAACAAACTAATTAACTTACCCATGCAACTCAATTTGAAATGCTTTCCATTTTCCAAAGGGCCCAGTAAACATTGAGTTTTAATTGTCCATCATAACCCAGGCATAATAGCTGGAGCTGACAGAATGACTGATACATATTTATGAACTGCATAAATGAGTTGGGGTCTGCACCCGCCTTGTTTGGTATAGGCGCTCTCTGGCAGCCTTGGAACACACGCTCAGTTCAGGCCTCAGGGTGTGTCCTCGAGACTTGGGTGTTGGGCTGCATTCGACCCTTAGAGAGGTCCCAGCAGTCGCCTGCCATGACTTGATCTTCCGTTCAGTAGTGGGACTCCCCCTTGTGGGAACTTGCGAACTAGGCGCTGCCCCTTGTGGGCGTTCTTGGGGCTCCACCTCCCCTATACCCCAGCCATACGCCAGCCTTCAGGTCGACCAGGTGATGGGTCGCCGGCTTGCTTCTTCAGTGTTCCCTTCTGCTCTTGTCCTCCCCTGCCCGTCCCTCTGCGTCTTACTTCGCCCTGGGTGCCTACGGGGTGTGGGACTGGTCTTGCCTCGGCCTCCGCCCTGACCCTATCTTTGAGCCGTTGGGTTCAGCGGTACCACCTTTGTTATTCTTCTTGATCCTTCGGGTCAAGTGGGGATGCTTCCCTGGTTAGGACTCTGCATGCCCCTTCAAGATAACTATGAGAACTCAGAAAAGGAAAAAAAAAGGTAGAGAAGAAAGGACCAGTAGGGGTTTGTGCGACAGCTTGCCCCACTCATGAGTCCGGTGTCTGTGGTCATCAGGATCCCTCGATGCCATCCTCTTTGACCCGGCTGTCTTGCCGGGTTGGGAATTTACCCTTTTAAGAAGGCTGGGATCCTTCTGGTGGGCCCCCATCCGGACTCCCACCGATCTCCCGCAGCGACGATCCTGGAGCCCAGGGGGCAGCATCACCCTCTCTCCTGGGTTTTGCTGCTGCCCCCTTTGCTTCCCTGCCACCCACTTTGCTTCCCCACCGCCGGCTTTTAAATCCGCCAGGCGGTGGTTTTTGGTGATGTCATCTGCCAGCGTTGCTCCCAGCCGCAAATAAAAGCGGCTGATGAACTGTGCCGGCAGTTCTTCTTGGTGTGGCACGTCTTTTCCTGTTGAAGGTAAGTAAGCCCCTTCCTTAGAGCTTTTAGTTTTCTTTTTCTGGAGGCTTACCCCAGCCTCAGCTCTTGCCATGGGAGGGGTTCCCGGGGATTCTGTTTGTGTCCCCCTGGGACAGGGTCCCATCTCCCTTTTATGCATGCTGTTAACTTCTAATAAAACTAATGGCATTGATACAAAAGCTTCTTAAGAAAACACTGCCCACCTATCTCCTAAGCAGCCCGTAGATAATGAAACAATTTCTTTTACATAACCAAGGTAACTGATTAAAGTTTTGATTAGTTTCCCAATGTCTTGATTAGTTTCCCAGTGTCTTGAGTGTAGAGAGAAAATCATTACAGTTTAAGGAAAAAACAGCTACCAAATTTTGCTGAAGGAATTATGTTTTGAAAGCAAGCAGTATAGTGCAGATGATTGGTTAAATCCAGCAAGGAACTTCAAGTACATTTAGTTTCCGAACCTCCATCCTTTGTGCTATAATGATCTTCCTGTTTCACTCAATTTAGGGAAACCTTCAATGACAGACCGACTATCTAGGCACTGGATATTTGGTATCTTGTGGGGATATGAAAGAATTACAAGTTAAAAAAATTAAAAGTCTAAAGATTTGTCCAGCTTGGTTGAAGTACAAGAGAGCAGTTCCTTATTATATATATTGTTCCTCCTATGTTTTTTATTCAGGCAATGCAACAGACTTATAGGATATATTCACAGATGAGTCATGAATTAAATACCTATTTAACATCATCAACCACTAAGGATAGTGTTTGTATTTGCCTATTGTTTCAGTCCAAAATCATAGACATAGCTACTGTGATCATCCAGATCAATAAGTTCATTTGTTAATCAAGAGAAAGAGGAGGAAGGAGATAAAGTTGGTTAATATTGTTAAACAAAATGAGATGATTAGCAATAAGAGTAAGCACAACCAAAGGAACAAGCTGTCATACAAACACACTTGCTAATAATCTTAAAACACTGTACTTTGATATTTAGAGTCTAACTACATGATCGGTAAAATACAACTGGTATTGAACATTAACCACTTTAAAATACTTAGTTAATGTAATACTGCGCAGTATTTTATAAATCAAAGGAATTAAATGGTTATGTAATAATCCTATACTTAGTTTATATTGTCCTGAATTTATCTGACAGTTTCACAGGAACAAGAAACTCTCTAAGTATAAAACTGATGAGATGTGAAATGGTGATTGCAGATGACTATCCTAAAGGCAGTGAAGAGTTTGTAAAACCTCCATCTAGCATATGAAAGGTAATGACCTGAAAGGATCACAGATTTCAGTATGAATGAGGCCAAGTGGTCAAATAAAGACAACAGAATAGAACCTGCAGTATAATGTATCTCCATGAAGGGAAAATGGAAAACTTTCCAACAGGTAGAGGGAAGGAGAGATTTCTTATGCTTTCAGAAACAGAACTTTCCTCCTCTCTCCTCACAAGAAAAGTGTAAAAATGTATTGGGTATTTACAGATTATAGATACAATTTTGGCAAATTATTTGAAGTTCTAGTTCAAGAATCTGTTTGCCTGTCCTTTATCACAATGATGGTGGTGGTAAGAAAACAAATGTAAACTACTTGTCAAAGAAATTAAACTAAAAAAAATAGATTAATAGAACTATATAAGATTGGTATAATACGAAAGAAGCTGTTAATGTAAATAGTATAAGCATTTTTCTACATCACATACAATTAAGCCCATGCATACAAGTTTAAAATATTATTCTTCATAAAGAAAAGCTCTTCCTTATGCCACATACGTGTCAAGATGTATTTTGTGATCCCTGACTGCTGATATATTTTGCAAATAAAAAGGAAAAAAGCAACTGACTAACTCTCAGGAAATCAGTGAGCACACAAAAGGACTTTCCTTTAAGTAAATACAATTATCTGATGGTGAAAATACAGTCTTATTGCCCGTTGTTATTTTCCAGCTTTTGCTGTAGGATTGCAGGATACACTTCAGGATGCTGTTTCAAATGACCTTTCTCCTTTTCTTACACACAAGTACTATACCTTGGGATTTCCTCCTCCCTCTTTGGCTGCGTACAGCATCTGAAGGGCAGATTCTGCTAGTGTCTTGGTCTGGTCCAGCACAGTCATTTGTTGTTGATGATCTAACATCTTGGATGCCACGCCAACTGCAGCTAAAACCAGAGGTTCAAAGTAGCTTGCCAACTGTGTAACCTAAGAAAGCAGAGATGATACAAGACTTTCAATCCAGTTTCTTTAACAGTGGAGAGGACAAGAAAATCTCTTCCCAAATAACATCCAGGACAGCATTAGTACTTCTTTAAGCATAACCTGAGCAGCACAATTTCATGATGTATTAGAACTGCAGGAAATGTAGTTCAGATGTTTTCCTGGGCTACTCTCTCCCTTTCCCAGCTGTGAATACTGTGATAGAGCAATGCTGCTAGATGGGCACAGTTGACATGAGACTCTGATGTCAGATCCAATTGTTTTCAAAACAGACTGGCTTCTCAACTATACAGGGAAGGATCTCTTACTAAATGCCGGAATTTCTCAACTTTGGTTACAGACAAAATATAGTGAAGTGATATTGAATTGCAAATTTCAAGACACTTAATCTATCTTTAAACATGCCAGGCAGTTACTGGCTCTATTGAGAAGCAAACACAGTCCGAAAGCCTGATTTAAGTTGTGAAGACCCAAATAATTTAGTAACATTTAAGATGCTGTGTTCTGATGAAGGCTAGTATTGCCTCTTCACATAGGCTTTTATTTTGCTATTAATAAGCATTTCCAGACGGCAGCAAGGTGACCCAATCATGTAGATTCTTTTAGTTGTAAGGTAAACTCATTGGAGGCTGACTTTTTATTCTGTATTTAAGTAGTGTTGGAGTGATGCTATAGCTGTTACAGTCCAGGAATTAGGCAAGGATTTTTTGGGTGACATCTTTTATTGCACTAACTGCACAGCTGGAATGAAGTTAGACAAATTTTCAGATGAAAGACATTCTTCATCTGGTATTTAGAATCTCTTCAGAACCTCACACAGTCTTTTCCTTTTCTCAAGTTACAGGACCAATTTACCCTTTTGCTGCTGAAGGCTTTCTGCTACCTCCTCATTAGTAGCCATTCAAAGCAAATGAGATTTTACTAGGTGTGCAACAAAGTTTTACAGAGTGACTCAAATATAAAACCAAACCAGGTCCCATTTTCAGTCCAGACACTCAAAAAGAAGTAGGCTTTCAGTCTCAGAGGCTGAGGAAAACAACTAGACATTTGGGCTGCTTACTTCATAGTAAGACATCCCTTATATAAGCATGAAGAAACACCAGAAATGGCAAGAAGAGCAATGAGACTATCTAACAAGAGACAGCTTTCCCATTTGGAAGCAAGAGGATCTATATACAACAGCTGAATCCAAATTCTGATACCCACAGAAACCAAATCCTCCAACAATCAAGGCAATATTAAGTATTTGATAAATAAAAGCAGGGGCTGGCTTCAGCAGCATTCACAGTAGGGGACTCTGCCTGCACTGCAGTCAAGTGCCTGGCGCTTAAGGTGGAGGGGGAGCTCTCTGCACCATACCACAGTGGGGCAGGACAGATCTAGCAGAGGGGAGCTCTCCTTGCATGATGCCACAGCCAGGTGGCAGGGAGAAGTAGTGCAGGGGGCCATGTCCTACAGCCTGCTGCCTTAGACCCAAGCTGGGCCACTGCAGCCCCCTCCCAGAAAATGCTGCCAACTCCCGACTAAAAGCATTGGTTAAATACATGACTATCCAACAATAACTGAATGGCATTGCTACACTTATACAAGCATCCAGAAAAGTTATCATGGTAATACAAAAATGAGGAAATACTGCTTTACTTCTGCTTTTCCCACAGTAAATGTACTGAAACAGAAATATCTGAAATGTCCTGAAAACATTTAATGTTCTTAGAAGTAAATGTATTTCAGAATAGGGTTATACTTCTGAGAAACTGCTAAAAGCTTCAAAAAGCTGGTTTCCTATCATATTTATTATTCTGGATTGAGCCCAAGGAGGATAAACAGTTCAAAACTACTGAAACAGGAATAGCACATTTGAGTACAAACTTCTTAACTTTGCAGTTTTGGAGGCTGAATCCATACCAAACCTTTGCTTGCACTGTAAGTCTGAGCCAGGGTTTTTTTTGCTGTTTTTTTTTTTTTTTTTTTTTAGTAAGAGCCATAGCAATTTTCAAATTGATACAAGTTGTGTGGATCTTTCTATAACTCACCCATAATTGGACTTCTGAGGGAGAATTTGGCAGTCCATCAGGCATTTGCAAGGGCTAAGTTACTGAAGCATGAAAAATCAACTACACAACATGTTCTTTTTAGCTTTCAGTGGCTTTTGTAAGCACATCCGTACTGATATTTTAAGTCTCCTAACAACAATAATAGTAGTTATGTCAAAAAGCCATTTAAGTCTTCTTCACCTGGGACTGACCATCTTTTAATGACTCCAGAAGCCTCTATCAGTCCTAAGGCAGGCAAGGTTCTTTGAGTAGATGTGATATCTTTTAGTAAGTAGACCCACTGAGTAGTTGGAAAAAAAAATTATTGGCAAGCTTTTGAGCGCAGTCACCTTGCCTACCTATGTCCTTAGACCAACACAGCTACAGCCAAAAACCTATCGGTTCTAAGACACCAGCACAGTAAACAGCAAATCACTCCCTTCTTGAAGTGTCAAGAATACAAAAGGTAGAAACTTCACATGTTAAAATGCAGCATTTAAAACTGCGAGGGCTAATTTTTTATAACATCAAACAGTGATGCAAATTTGATTTAAACTTCTGAAACCTCCCTAAAATTCAGAATGAAATCTGAATCTCAGTCCTCAGTTCACCCAGACACTATCAGAGACTGGAGACATTATGGCGCTTCAAAGCAATCCAAGAACACTTAGTGCTCTTACACACTGTATAATTAGACAGGTGCAAATAATTTTTGTCTCTAGCCTGAGTCTTCTGTCTTCAGCAGTCTAAAATTATTTTCCCTTCATGAAGTTTCTTGCATTATTTTTTTAAATAGCACAAAAAAGCTATCTATATGTTGTACAATCCTACTATTGACACAAGCATTTCTCTGAGGTCTAAACATTCAGGACTTTAGAAATGTCAATAATTATAGGATCATGTACCTTGTGTCCCAGCTGAGCTGCCTCTCCTCGAGCTGCAGTAGCTATGGGATCAATAAGGTGTCCGATTTCCTGAACAACTGATGTCAACTGCTCCTGTAAAGCCTAATACAAAGAGAAATTAACAATTCATTCCCTGAAGCATACCATTTCATAAGATAGCATCACACCAGTTAAAGTGCCAAGGCCTCTGTTAGAACTTACATACAAGCATACATGCTAAGCATTGTCCATTTCTCCGCATTAATAAGCTCCATTAATAACCCGCAACATAGGTCCACTGCTGCATATACTCAAGAGGTGAGTCGGGTTGAAAAAGGTCCCTCCAGCTCTGACTGACGGTATGAGCTCCTGCATCTCTTTCTAGTCCCAATGGTTGTGTGACAAGTGGTGCATTTCCTATGGCCATGTGTGGATGTTCAGTTTCTACTGGGAGAATTGGTGTATTCCTGGTAGAAGACAAGTGTGCAGGTGTTCAAGCTTTTTCTCCTGGAGCAAAAATGCCTGCTCTGGGAGCAAAACAACCTGTGAACAACCAGGGTGAAATCACTCTAGTGGAGTTTCTTCCAGGAGACTGAATATCTGCATGCTTTCCTCTAGCCACTCCTTTTGGCCTCCAGGAGATAAGCCAGGGGAAAGACTCCCGTGATTTTCTGAGACTGGAGTCACCCTGATTGAGAGAAGGTACAGGGGGCAGCTGCTCAGCTGAGTGGCAGGGGTAACAATTTAACAGCTGCAAGGGCTGAGAGCAGCCAGGTATGTGGAAGCTTTCCTCAAGCCTGGTTTCTGGACCCCACCTCCCTCCCACTCTTCCTCTTGACCCCTGCTGCCCAGCTGAGTGGTGTGGGCAACAAGGGGAAGCCAGCAAAGCTGGGAGCCAGGCTTTGAGAAAATGTCTGCACCCCTGGTTTCTGGCTCTGCTGGCTTTTAAATCATCACCACCACTGCTCATCTGGGTGATGGGAGTGGCAAGGGGAAGCTGGGGTGGAGGTGGGGTATGAGCTGGGCTCTGAGAGGCTCTCTCTGGGGTAAAGCCCCTACCCGCTCCTCACACTAGAGTCCCAGGTGTTTGGTGTGGATGGGGGGGTTGCCCCACTGCTCCAGTTCCTTGGGAAAAGGAAGACTGGAGCAGCACATGCTTTCTCCAGGCTGGCCTCATCCCAAGTGCAAGGAGCAGGGGAGAGACGAGGTGATTGGCAGGCTACATGTCTGTACTGCTCCCTATCCTGAAATCATTTCTAGCCATGGGCATTTTCTTCTGCTAGAAATGAAGGTTTGTATATGGCCTATTACTGAACATTGTTAACCCATTCAGGAAAAAAAAATCACCAGGATTGTGGATCTAAATACGGAACAGTATTTTCAGGGCAAACAGTACAATACACAGAGATTTGTTGCGTATATTGAAATTAGAAGCAGAAATGTATTGATAAGGAAAGGAATGGAAAAATATGACATATAGGTGTGGGAGATGTGGATTGATCTCCAAAGTACAGTGTCTGGGATATAAGGATAAGAAGGTCCTAGTGTTAGAAATGCCCACACAAAAGCACCTGCTTCTAATTCAAAGGCAAACCACGCCTTGGCAGCCAGGATTTAGCTCATCCTGTGAAAAAAAAGATGAGCTGATTTATAGAATTTCTTCTATTTACATATTGTTCTAAGTAAGGCTGGATTATTTTAGTATTTTTTTCAAACTTGACACCATTGAGTAAATGACAAAAAATTATGTTTTTTTTTTTTTTTTTTTAAATGGGCAGGGCAGGGAGTGAAAAAATTTTAAAAACCTTGCAGTAACTTGCTTTGGGCAGTCTTGTTTTTCAAAAACATTTCCACGTAGATTAAAGTATTAGTGCTATATGTAACACTTATTGCTAGGTTGAAAATACATTATTTGCATACAGAAAGTCCACAATAATTTTGGGAAACATTATGCCATTATTCATTGTGCATCTGATATTGAGAATTTGGCATTCAGTCATTAGCTCCCCCAAAGGAAATCACTGAAAATGGTTCTTACTTCAGTTAACTAAAGTGTGAAATAGCCTTAGGAACAGTCATACCTTACTACTGAAAAAGAATAAACTTTGGATTTCTGGCAAATGACTTCATCTGGAAATATGTAACTTATGTATTCAGTCTTAAAAGATTTGCTCAGCTCCATTAGAATGTGTTAATACAGGAAAGTTAAAAGCTATGGTTTTGGAACCTGCATACCTGGTAGGAGAAAAGGAGCTTGCTAAAAAAAATGTGTTAAAGATCCTTTGTAACATGCTTCAAATAAATCCCTCATTTTGCAAAATACCAAGTGAGAGAGGGACAAGAAAAGATTTTGCCTGTTAAAGAAATTTAGACATGAGTGTTCAGGTGTACGGTAAGAAAAGGCTCTGACATTCAGATTCTCACTACTAAATTTTCAGGAACAAACTAATGTCCAACACTCTATTGTCCTTCAAGCAGCCCTAGCCAACTCTAATTAGCAAAAACTTTTTCTCTCTGTTACATCAGTAAATGAACAGGGACAATTTTGTAGGTGTCATTTTAAATTAAAATAAGTTATTACACTTAATAATTTATTACACCACTTTTGGCAGGTAATTCAAGGATTTTAAGAATTATATTTTCAAAGGTATCTCAACTAATTTCCTAATTTGTGTTGCAATTGAAGAAGATATATGGCCATTATACTTATGCAAATATTTATGGATATACATTGGAAGGCCACTCTTCTCTGGCATGCCAATCGAGTCAACTGACTCTTTCCAATAGCAGATAACACTGTTGGGCAAGGACTTTTTACAGATGAGTGGGAGTCCCATGACCTCCATTTGACTGGTAATTTGAGAGAAGTATTTCATACCATATGCAATTCTAGCCATACTAACTACAGTTCTGAACCAAATGTAAAGGTGCTTTGTGTATGAAATGGGGAAAGGGATAATATCTATTATTAATAAGGAATCTTGCTTAAAATATTAAACCTATTAACTCTTTAGAATGCTCTTTAGATGCTCTAAGTAATGCTAGTAGCTTTTTGCTCAAGAATAAATTGATATTTTACAGTGTAGAAATCTTAGCTTGAGACTGAGCTATTTTACTACTAAATTACAGCATTTGATCTATCACTGGTTTGTTTGTTTTTTTGCCTGGAAACATTTAAAAATAATGTCTTGGTGCTTCCTATAATGAGGTGCTATTCTGAATCTCACCACGCATTATCTAAATCCTCATTAACTTTTTTTACACTTCTCTTACACTCTTATCTATAATTTAGCAAGCTTCACTCCCCAACATGCAAACGTTAAATACCTATATTGGTATTTTGTCTTAAGACTTCCAGTTTATGTTGTCTCAACAATGGTTTCTGTGCCATAGAGTCCTGTAACATGACCATTAGCAACCCTAGATCAGGCAAGAAATTAGTTTCTCCCCATGCTACCTCACTGCTATATCAGCAATGTAACATACATTTAGCCGGCATGGATTTTGCCATACAACCCTTTGGTGGCAATACTTCTCTCAGGGGCAGACTGTGCTGCCTCTGCAGAACTCCCAGCTCCAATATTTATTTTTGTTACCAAGAAAAGTCTAGTGTGGTCACTAAAGGTGAACACTACTCTTCTACAGGGTAGTCTTTCCTTACTTCAACAGAGATGTCATCCCTTGTAGCCAAGTTCTGACTGACTGCTGCAAGAGAAGCCTGCTCAATGTCTCTGATACACCTGTTGATTCCATCAATGGAGTAATCGCATTCTCTCTGACCAGGGGCCTTGTCCCTGAAACAAAGAGGATCGAGTTATTTTGAGGGTGTTGGAGAGACTTATTTATTAATGTGAACACATATATTTCATTAATTAAAAACATGCAAGTCATGGGGAACAAGAAGGGCAGCAGGGAGAAAACCTATATTTGTAGTAACTAAGAGGTTTGATACACTTAGATAGAATGGGATGTTTTGAATATTTTATGGGAAATAAATGGCAGGCTTGGGAAAAGAAGAGACCGTTTAAAGATGTACAAACACTATCCTCTCCCAGATGAGTAAGTAGTAGCACCACCCACCTCAGATAGAAAAGGTCTTAAGGTAATCCTGGAATGGGACTTGAGTGGTGGGACAGGAAGAGACACCACAATCTCACACTAAAGTAGCAACAAACGTGCATGACCAGAGATATCCAAACTTTATGCAATGCAGCTGAGAAGAATTCCTCAAGGGTGAGGCTTTATTCTCAATTGAAAAGATGTTTCAGTGACTATTATCTACTAGATTTGCGGCATGTTGTTTAAACATAAATGTTTTAAGAGGTCAACATTTATCAGACCCATGGTCCTCAGTGTGTTGTTTATTCAGGTTCTAGTAAGGGTAGGAGTACACAACGTAACCCTCCTTTTTTATGGGTTTTTAAAGTTTTGTTTAAAAAAAAAAAAAGACCTGACCTTTGTTAAAATTAAGGAAATACATGTACTTACAACAACAATCTAACAAAGTAAACAGAGGTAACAGTAAAAGGGCACAAGTGAATTTGGATCGATTTTGAGTAAACATGTACTTTGCTTACCCAGAGCTTAAGGCAAACTCTTACATCTGACCAGCCTCGTCAGTGCATGGATTCTTCATATTTTGAATACCAGTATGCAGATTTTAAACACAGTGTAATTTATGTATGTAATAGTACTTCTCCATTTGTTTGAACTGAATTAAAAGAGGAACTCTGCAAAAAGCCAGACCTATGCAATCATCAGTAACAATTATATGTAAAAACAAATGGAGGGACCTGCGTATGATACAGCCTGAATTGTTTTCACAACTGAAAAAGCAAGAGTAGCTTGGGCCATGACATGCCCCTCTTCCTTGCTCCATTTCTGAATACCTTTTTGGCATATTGTGGCTTAGAAATGAATGATAAAAAAGCTACAACAGAAAACGTACCTAATAGAGGTGATAAGACTCTTAATAGAATCTGAAACTGTGTGCGAATGCCCAGCTAGTACAGACCAAGTAGGTGGGTCTTTTGGATTGATGGCCAATGAACGGGCAGTTTTGATCAGTGAAGATGAACTCTCCAACATTGTCTTTGCAGAAATCAAAATTGGCTCCTGTGCTCGAGATCCCTATGGTCAAGACAGCAGCAAGTTAAATGCAGCAGAACATTAGACTTTACTTCAAAACATGCTACAAATGTTTGGACTTGTTTGTTCTTGATACAACAGACACACATTGAGTAAGGAATATAATGCTGATCTATCTAGTCATCACTTCTGCACTAGTAGGGAAGAGATGTCAGCACAGATAAGCCAACACAAATCTGAATTAAAATGCTGCCATTGGAAAAGGGCAGACTTTTCCGTTTTCAGACTTTCCCAAATGACGAGGAGTAGCTGACACAAGTACCACACTGCTAGCTTATAACCAGAGACTAAATGCATTATATTCCTGCAACACTGTAAGATTTGTCTTACTTGTGCAAGATTCAAACTCAGTTAAGTGAAGGAGGGTAAAGCTGTCAAAACAATAATCATTCTACATTAGAAAATTCCAGGAATGGAAACTGCCAGCAATGAGAGACTTCACCTGCCTTTCAATCACGGTAAAGTTTTAAAACAATTTACAGTTCTTGTAAGGAAATAAAGCATCTTGAGCACAGCACTTGTCGGTAAGAAATACACACTATAATGTCTGATATCCTGTTAATCTCTAGTTACTTTAGATTTACTTTTTTTCCCCCCTGATTTGGAACATTAAGTCCTGAGTTAATTTTAAAATCAGATTAAGAGATTTTTTTTTTTATCATACAAGATTAACTGTATGTTTAAAAAAAACAAACAGTACTTTAAAAGCAAATCTGTCTTGTGGGCAGAAATACAACTCCTTTCCTACCTCAGCACTGATCTGGGCCGGTATGCTGACAAATTCTGGATTTGAAGCAAATGCTGTCAGATTTTCCACAGCTTCAATCAAAGGAGCAGTTGCAATTCTACACTTGTTTCGGTTATCTTCGGAGAAATCACCATCCAGAGCCTGGCAAAGAAGACAACAGTTACATTTTGGTTTGGACGGCCACTCCGCAAAGCTTCAGAACAAAAATCACACACTGAAGAAGGGAGGTTTAATTCATTGTTATTTTTTAAACTTACATGTTTATGTACATATACATTGGAGATATGCAAAGATCCTTCAGAAACAAGGCTGATCTTTGATATAACCTTTCAAAATGTCATTTAATGCAGTATGTCTCTTCACTTACTCAGGTGATTATTAACTAGGCGTGTGCAAAGCGGCTAATATTTGCTTCGGATTCGGCCGATTCAGGGGACAGTGATTTGATTCGGTGATTCGGCTGGTGCTGAACTTCCAAATCAGCCAGGCTCATCCCCCACCAACCTGGCTATGGCTGCCCCACCTGCCCCAGCTCCGGGCTCTTTGGGAAAAAAAAGCCCTGGCTCACCGGGTGCTGCCAGGCAGAGGGGGGCAATCCCAGCTGCCCCTCCACTGCCCCACGCTGTGTGGTGGGCTCTGCATGAGCCCCCCTCCGCCTCGCTCTCCCAGGCCCCCCACGGATGCCCCTCCCAGACCAGCTCTGGCCCTTTAAGAAAAAAAAACAAATGAGAAAAGCCCCGCACTCATCGTTCCTGCCAGTAGGGGGCAATCCCTGCTGCCCCACACTGCCCTGCGTCATGTGAGGGGCTCTGCATGAGCCCCCCAAAGCCCCGAGGCCGCTGCAGGAGCGGTGAGTCCCAGGGCTATTCTCCAGTTTTTTTTTTCCTTAAAGGGCCAGAGCTAGCCCAGGTGGGACACCCGTGGGGGGGCTCAGGGAGTGAGGTGGGGGGTCAGGGGTCTCATGCAGAGCCCCCCATGCAGCATGGGGCAGTGGGGATTGCCCCCCAACCTGGCAGCACCCAGTGAGCACCGGGGCTTTTTGGTCAACACGCCCTCCCCCAACCCCTCCTCCCCCGCCCCTAGTACTTACCGGTTCTGAGTAGGCTGCAGCTCCCTGCTGCAGCCACCAGGGACTGCCCGAATCATCAAAGCTCTCTCAATCTTTTGAAGATTCGGAGAGCTTTGAATCGATTTGGACCTTTAAATTGGTCCCCTGATGCAATTTGGATTTGGAGATTTGGCCACTGAATCAGGCCGAATCTCCTTCAAATCAAATTACTCCCCAAAGCTTCGCACAGCCATACTACTAACCCCAAAATGAGAAATAACTGCTAAACAAGCCAGAAAAGGAGCTTAAAATAAGTTATTTGATAATGCTCATAAATCATGTCTCAACACCTCAAGTCCACAGAGGTGGAAGTGGCTAAAAATTGATCTTTTTCATGTCAGCTAAAATCTCTAATCCAGACACTCACCTTCATAACTGTTATTACCTCATTTTCATACAAATGACTTAATCTCTTTCAGAATCTCACAGAAAATAGCTCAACTTGGAAGCACCTTCTGAGTAATATAATAGAACTTTCATGCCCCAGGAGAACAGCTGTTTTTCCAGGAATTATGCAGCTAATGGTTTCCACAAAGGAATTTGAATTCAGGATCCCAATATCCCTTACAAGTTTCATTCCTTCTCAAAGAGAGAAACTACTTCCTAACAGAAATCAGGTAGTTCAAAAAAAGGTCAGTCAGCAATATTTTTCATTTGCAGATTTTGATTCTATAACAAGTCTAAGCACTAGTACTGGAGTGTTACTGCAATCATGATAGTCCTGGAAATGTATACTAGGCAAGGGTTTATTTTGTGATAATTTTTTATCACTATTGTATACATCTGGGCCAACTGTATAGTTGGGAGAGATACTGGACAAGATTTCAGGCACAAAATAAAGTCAAATCTGAGTATTATTTGCAATAAATATGCCAAATCCTCAGGGGATCCAATCATTCCTTAACTCTCTATCAGATGATTAACAGGCAGTTGTACAGGCCATCTTTTTAATATGCAGGAAAAAATTTAGACTTGGCCCACTTTTGAAATAGCAGCGTTATTATTTTTCCTCCTATTTTTAAAATTTTATTTATTCATTAATCCAACTCAATAATAACAAATTTAAGATTTAAAGATACAACCAATCCCCTAAAAATATACATAAAGACAGATATTTATTTTCCATCAACAGTAGTCTCTTAATCAAAGTCAATAGGTCATCTCTATACACCATATTTACTTGATTAGAAGATGAGGTTTTTTTCCCCCATTTAACACGAGGAAAAAAGCCTCTCACTTTACAATTGAGCACAAGGTGGCAGAGGGCAGGCAGCTGCTGAAACTGGAGCCAGAGCCGCAACTGTTGCCTGCCCCCCACTGCCTCTGCACCCTGCCTCCCTGCTGCTTTTCTCCTGCAGCCTCCAGCCCCAGTCTCCCCCCTGTGCTGCTTCTCCCCCTCTGCCACACTCCTCCTCACCTTTGCTCTGCACCAGCAGGCTCTATCTTTGCTGCAGCCTGGAGCACGGGGCACATTATGCTCCAGCCCAGCCTTGTAGCAGCAGTGCTGGCTCCATGCCACTACTAGAGGGCTGGGCTGGAGCCACGCTTAGTGCCCCAGGCTGCCGCAGGGACACAGCCTGTCAATGTAAGGTGGGGGGAAAGGCATGGAGGGGGCAAGTGCAGGGTTAGAAACTTCATGGAGGGAGGAGATGGGAGGAAAGGGTGGTGAGGACCCAAGACTGTGGGGGAAAGTAGCAGCATGGATGGGGGGGGAAGAGGAGGGGGCAGGGGTATCAAGGGCCTGAGGCTGTGAGGGGAAAGCACAGTAGGGGGGTATAAGTGGTGGTGGTGGTCGTGGGGGAAGACAGGCAGCAGGCCTGTTACTAACCCCAGGCCCCCGACCTCTTCCCCATCTCACTGCCTGCCCCCTACCACCTGCCTTGCTACTCCCTGCCCCACACTGCTTCCTCCATTGCCTGCCCTACCATGTGCTCCCCTACTGCCTGTCTTACCACCTGCCTGCAGACTGCCTGTCCCCCACCACTCCCCATTGCCAGCCCCAGTACTCCCCACTACTGCTTCCCCCACTGTCTATCCACCCACCACCTGCCCCGTTACTGTCGCCCTCTCTTGCAGTAGAGGGGAGGACAAATTTAAGATGATCCTCCAATAAGTAAGAGTCCATACAAAATTATGATTAATTTATACATTTCTGTGTATAGAAGCTAATTATTGGGGGGGTCATGTTAAATTCAGGATAGTCTTATATTCAGGTAAATATGGTAATACCCCTCGCCCCTTTTCCTTAGAATTCTGAGCAATACGCATATTTTCCTCATCTGCTTTTAAATCTATTCCAAATTTGATCCTAAGTGTCAGCTCACAGCACTTGCACTTTCTTAATTTTTTCTTCTACAGTTCTAATGGTAAAAAAATCTATGTTGCTATATTAGTATAAAGATTCCTTATTTATAAGGGGTCTTGTAGAATTTCCTAAAAGCTGAACCCAGCACCCACACAGTTTTGCTGGAGTGGGCTTGAAAAAATCCCCAGAAGCTCTGCCTGCCTGCATGGGTGGGTGGATAGGAGTGCAGGGGGGAAGAGGCTTCCACGCCCCACTTTGCCAAATCCTAGATCCACCCATGAGCACAAGGATGCTTAATTTTTGTATTTCCTATTTTTTGAGGATTTAACTTTGCAACCTTAATGACAAATCTTTAATATAGATTTATGTGGATAATTCCAAGACAGTTTATTCCTCTTCTCACATGGGAATAACTATATTAGTTTAAGGTACCTTCATAACAATAATATTGAATAAAATTAAATTTAAAAAAATGAAGGTGCAAGAAATACTATCATGTACCTTGATAGTTTTGACCAGGTTAGCAGTGCTATTTGCAACTTCCTTGGCAGATTGCACGAAATGTCTCTTGGCAACAGGGTTGGCAGTCTTTGATGAAGCAATACGGCAAGCATTACACAAAGCAGATGTATGTTTGGCCACTATTGTAGCAGCTGACAAAACCTGAAAAACACAGATGGCCATGAGAGGTATAGAACAGGACATAAGAACAGGATAGTTAATTGCATCATTGTTCTGAAAACTGTGGTTCAAACACATGCTATGCTCTTATACTGAGTGCTTCCCCATGCTGATTATCAGTAAAAAGCAAATCAATTTAGTCCTAACAAATCTCAGAGAAAGTCTCATTACAAACCTCTGGACAGAGTTACCTGTGATGGGCTGCTTGCTGGATCCACCAGATTCTGACATGCCATCTGGATTGCCTGGTTGGCCCTGGCAAACTGAATAGGATCAACAAGTCCCTGCTGCCCAGCCTGACTGTTGGGATCTGAGATGCCCACTAGATAGGCAGCCTAGAAAGGGAGGGGAAAAAAATCAAATCTCAGTGAAGATGCTAAATTCATTTTAGCTCTTAACAAGAGACAGGAAGGTGCCACTGATCAGAGTGGTCAGGTGTTACTCAGAAATCATGTAGCAAATTTGCTATTAAAAATGCCCGTTAACAGGTCTGCAGTATGATGTAAAAAGCAGAGATTGTTATAATTTGATTTGAGAAATCTAATTAGACAAAAAACCCTGCTCAAAAAAATCTGCAAAGGGGGCAGACACCTGGGGCATGTCTATACAGAGTAATACAATGCTGTGTAGAGATACGCTAGTGCTCATCTCTCTTGACATTGCAAACTGCTGCATGGAAAAGTCTTTCATAACTGGCTCATTTATTGAAACGGCAATACAGCATTTGGTCACAAGGGGGAGCAGCTCAACAGCTTGGGAAACGCACCAATTTAAGGTATAATTTTGGCACGCCAATCCAACAGCGTTAAGACCAGCTCATACATTCTCAATAGCTTATGCTTTGATTAGCTATTCAAAACCTATCAAAGCAATGGAAGTGATCTAAAAGAGATCTATAGTAATCTCTTTGCTTATCTTAAAATGGAGTGAGATACACAGTTTGAGGATGTGGTCTGAATTGCAGACATGTAAAAGTTTACTCTGTGATTTTTTTAAGAGACAAAAGGGTTTATTCCCTTCTTGATAAACACGCTGCACTGGCTTATTAGCTGATGGCTGTTCCTCTTTTGGAAGATGAGAAATGCCATACAATGCAAATATTTGGTTTCCTTGGGTGTTTTTACATGTGCTGCTGAGGTGGGGGGGAGGGGAGTGCTCTAATTAGAGTGGTTCTGAGAGCTGCTCTAATTAAAGTACCCACAGCATCTTATGTATCAGCATCTCTAAACTTCAAAATGGTGATGGGGGCACTTTAACTACAGCTCATTGAACAAGTTTTAGTTAAAGCACCCCTGACACCATTCTGAAGTGCAGGGATACTGAGACATGAGATGTGGAGGCTGCTGGAGCATGCTAGTTAGCAGATTCCAGCTCTAGCTGTAATTACAGCACTCTGGAGTACTGCAGTACAGTACAGCTTTCCTGCATGTCTACAGCCACGCTTTGGCTCTTACAGTTGCACATATAATATACAGTAATACAGGACAGATTCCTGTGTTTTACAGTTCCTATGAACAAGTGGGTTACCTGGGCTGCAGCCTCTGTGAGACCACAAAGAGCCTTGGAAGCAACTCCAACACATTCTCCAAAAACTAGCAGGTCCCCAGTTTTGGCATTCTGAGAAATGCCTGCCATTGACTCTCCGAGAACCTTTAAAGTAAAAAAAAATAAGGTAAGTTCTCCTATTCTATTTTTCTTTATGTAGAAAAAGCATTTTCTAAGTTTTTCTGGACTGCATAATGCAGCAGTGGCATCTACTCAGCACAGACACACTGAACATGCTCTGGATCTTGTCTGCTTGAGACTACTTACTGAAATGCAAGGGAAAGGGACTTGTGTCTTGGCTACTGAAGTACTTCGTGGTCAGAATGCAACTTAGGCTAGGGACAGATATTCAAAAAGCCTGAGCCTGAATTGATTCAATCTTTGCAGGTTAGTCTAACCTGCCAAGGCTAAACCAGTTTGTAACCATCGAGACATCCCCTCTGGACTGAAGAAATAGAAGCACATGCCTGGAGTGGCTCAGGCTAGAACCCTGGGGGCGATAGAGCAGACCTCCTTTCACTTGCAAAGTGCTGAGCTGAGGGGCGGGAGGGGTGGCCAGGCCTTGGCAGGACACTTTGATTAGGGAGGGCCCCCCTCCACTGTTGATAACAGAGCACTGAGTTACACAGAGAGCTGTTAGCATTTATCACCCCATCAAACAAAACGAAATGAAACGAAACGAAACGAAACAGCTTCTCATTATTTCAAGCTCTTCTTATTTCAAGCTTTTTCCAAGGAAGGAACAGAGGGATATTAGCAGCTACCTGTTGATTAGTTCCAAAAAGCTCTAAACCAACACTGTCCTGTCTGCCTTTGTCTCATCTCCCACAGCACAGACTGTAGCTAGCATGTGGTGTGCTAGCTAATGCTGAGACGTGTCTGTGTAAGGAAGGTGTGAGGGAAGAATCCCTGCTTGAGCACGGAGTGGTGGGGGAGCAGGAGGAAGACAGGCAGACCTGCTGTACCTGCAGTCTCTGCTGGAGGGGCAGCCAGGGACCAGAGGGGAGGGGCCAGCCCTGCTAGGCTGGAGCAGAATGCAGAGCCCCACCCAGAGTTGCAAAGCATCTAGGGTGTTGGAGGACTCTGATTTAACTTAAACCAGGAAGGGGTCTGAGACAGACATTGCATAAACTGGTCTGACTCAAATCAGGTACATCTGATACTACATTCAACCAGGTTTATCTCAAAATGGTTTCAGCCATTTTCAAAGTGGTTTATGTGCTCTGAACAACTGTTCTGTTACAGGTTTGAACCAGTTTCTAATCATTTAAACTGGTTTGTGTGTAATGTCTGTCCCTAGCCTTAGAGTTTATCTCACTGAAGTTGGATCTTTCTTCCTTCCCTAACCAAGAAGCTCAGAATAAAACTGGACTACAATAAATCACCCAAGCAAAGTAAGCCCATATTCCAGTGCACGTGGCTTCCTCATTATTTTATAATTAACGAAGAATTTAAGACAAATGTAATACATCAAATTATCAAGAGGTCACAATGAAGGTAAAGAAACTTTCAGGTGAAGATTTTAGAATGTAGTTAGATCTTCACTGTAAACAGCTTTTGAAACAGCTTTTGTAGCTGTTGTGTCCCTTTATTAATTTAACAAGTGTAGAACTACTGATCCACTACAGACCAGAACTAGAAAAAACACCTCATTTCAATGCAAGTTAAACCACAGCTGGGATATAGATTTAGTCCAGTAGACAAAGCTGGACAAAGCTATTTCTGAGAGCTATTTTTTTTAAAGAGAACTTAACAAAAGTTAATTCTGTACATTAGATTATTTTATTGTTTAGTCCTAAGACATACAATGTTTTAAAGTAACTTAACAATTATCACCCTACTTAAGTATTTGAAATGTACAAACATTTCTCCTGTTCGTTTTGCACAAAGACGTACAATGATGTTTCCTCACCACTACTTACTTGGATATGTTTGGGCACTTTTCTCATGACCACAGTCAAACATATCATGAGAGTACAAGACACACTGCAAGATACAGGATGCTCTACCAAGCCAGCAGGACTTCAGATCAACAAAGGGTATGGACTAATGTACATTTTAGCTGTGTCAAAAGGGAAGTGAAAGCTGCTGACCAGGATGGTGCTGCAGCTGTTACATGATCCCGGTAGCCAAACAAATTTGCTAAATCCCCATAATACTGACCTTGGATGAAGCATGGATAAAGCTGGAGCAGTTTGTTACACTTTTAGATCACTCAGAGCTCCTTCAAGGAGAGTTTTACCTGGGAATTTAATGCCTTTTCCAGGTGCAGATTGAAAACTGTTTCCAATGAATTTCATAAGCTTAAGGCTACTTTAATTAATGAATACTTGTTCATAAACCATACATATCGAAGTAGAAGGAGAGAATTACCTTGGAGTTTTCCATTACACCCTCAATGCAATCAAAATACGAGAGGTCGCTTACAGGCTCATTGGGATTATCCAGCATTCCCTTAACTGTCTGAAAAGAGAAGAATTGGGTTACTGAAGTAACCCAGAACTGAGCCAGACAAACGCACCATCATCTTTTTTAAACCAGGAAATGCATCTACCTGGCTCACCACCAACAAGCAAAAAACCCCTATTCTCAGTCACTGTAGTTCATTCATGTATATGTAGATATATGACACAATCACTTACTATTTGTTTTCAGCAAAATTTAGACTTTCTTTTTTCATCTGAACAGGAGCTTTTAAAATCTTCCTGGGAAGGAAGTGATTTGAAAAGCTGCCACATCTTGCTGACTACTGGCTAAAAAACACAACCAGCCACTAGCTAAATATATAAGTGTGCCCTCTGCTTGCCTTTCTTTATTACTGTCAACAGAACCTGCCAGTGTAATGGAAAATACTAAAATTATAGATAGAAATAAGTGAGAAAGGTCCTTTTTTGGGAGAGGGTCAGTTTGTACCATGGAAATATAGTACAGGACCGTGCAAAGGAGAACACTAATTCGCATACTTTTAAAGGAATCAATATATCTGTATACAGACTTCTCATTGAATAGACAGTCCTATGGGGGACGTATCTTTTTTTCTTTAAAAAAAAAAAGCAACGTAAAAAGTTAGTTTTCAAGTACACAGTCAAGAATGGAACCTGAATACCAGCCAGCATAGGTATTCTTATAGTCTTACTGACTGACAGTAACAAGAAATTAGTAGCAAACATTAATAAAAACCCACATCTAAAAGATTTACAGTGTGGCTTTTCCAACAGAGGAAATATGAAGAGGCATGGAAGTGGAACCTCTACATCATTTTTTAACTCAACAAAGAGTCCATTGTCTTTTTTAAAGATAAAAGCCCTTAAAGCTCTACCTTAATAGCACTTGTGGTAAGGTAGGTTATAGTGTCTAAAAAAGAAAATGTGAATGAGAGATATTATCCAGCACACAGTTTGGCTGCTATTTCCTTCCCCTTTTTTCTCCATTCCCTTTAGAATTATAGTATCATATACACAGTGATTTATTGAGCAAACCTTGTTCTAGCCACATTCTCACTGCCAAGGAGATGAGTTCTCAGACAGAAGACAGAATAGTAGGAAGTGAACAAACTGAATCACAGACTGACTGTTAAATCTGTTGTTAAATAGGAAGTGGTGAGAGTTACTACCCATCATCTAGGGACAGTTAAGTAAGGTATCTTCACTGGAGAGGCACATCTTTTCCTGAGTTTCAGGGCAGGCCCCAGGGCATTTTGACACTATACTGAAGCTACAGGTAAAGCACATTAGTCCTACAGAAGACAAGACTGCCCATCATACTAAGAAGTTTTGAAGAGGATAGTAAGGAAAATAATGAATGAGGTGAAAACCAGAGGTAAAAAGAACAACAATGGCAACCAAAGAGCCTTGATTTAACATTTTCCTTTCATTATGGTTAAAGCTTATTGATGGTGGCCCTTTCATCCCAGCTGGCTCACTCTTTGAAATTATACTGCCTTCACACTCTGCGGCATACATGGTTCTAGTCTCATGCCCCACAGGATTATTTTCTTCAGATGAGGTGGGGGATCTAACTCTGGCTTGGGTGAAGGTAAGCCCAAGCCATCTTACCTGTGCCCACCATGGCCTATTTCATGTGGGGCTGGTTTTCTACTTCAGTCAAATACTTACTATTTCTTTTAGACCCTCTTGGAGGACTGGTCCTGAGCAGCTCTAATTAGTCAAACTGTCAAAAAAATCCACTGAGAAGTACTTACATTACTGTTTCGAGAATGACTTGGTACAGGAAAGCAGTTTGCTACTGTGTCCATTTCTTATGGAAGAAGCTGCACTGTGAACCTAATTTCTATTTGAACATTTATTTATATTTATTTAGTTTAGAAGCAAAAACTAAAAGGAAAGGCCAAAACTACATACAGAAAGAAATAAGTGCCATCCAAGCTTTTGGCCAAGGTGCTGCTAATACTTGCTATTCACACTGTGGACTCATAAGAGTTTGCCACCACATCAAGCTGAATGGTAGTTCCGCTCAGCAGATGTGACCTCCTGCATGTTTAATTTGTACATTTAAAATAACTGCTGGGAAAATATATTTGAGGTCCCTTTTGCATTTCATTTTATTTGGCAACCTCACCCCTCTCTGTTCTACTAGCTCTTTTTTCTCTCTGCATGCTTCCTATGGAATAACAATTAAAGAAGAGCTGTGTAAAACTTAAGTTTCCTCCTTTATTCTTTCTTTAGCCTGTGCTACTCAAAAAAACAAATCACTCAGTAAATTATGATAAAATATTAATGTAGACAGCAACCTCAAATTTAGAAGTTGTGGGGGGGGAAGGGAGAGGAGGAAACTGTTTACTGGTAAAAATGCCAGGCTGAAGCCTGTGTGTTTTTACTACTGAGGCTTCTTACAAATGCTCTTCAGAAGAGTTACTGGGTGCATCTACATAAGGTGCTAACTGTGCAGTAGCCTAAGAACACTGCGCAGTAGCATTGTCGCAGGGCACTAAGGTGCCTGCTCCTTTGAGGGCAGAAACTGCAGAGAGAGAGGGCCCTAGGAGCTAGGCAGAAACCCCACAGATGCAGGTTACTGTGGCAGAAGGTTAACGAGGGAATTAGCCTGCACCTGCACAGCTGACAGGAAGAAGGCAGGGTCCTGGGCCCATACAAGTCCCAGAGCTGGGATTGAAGGCAGTTAGGGCCCTGGCAGCTGCCAGGGGGTGCAGAGTTTGTGCAGAAAAGCTCCATGGAGATATCTGGGTGCCTGTCCTGCTGCTGGTGAGACTAATGAAGTTTAGGAGCTCCTAAAGTATCCAGTGCTAGGAGGCACACATTGTTGAGGGAGAAACTGGCCCTCTTAAAGGGACAGAGTGTGACCTTCAGTGGTTGCTGTTATGTCGTAGCGCAGGGGCTCATATTTGTGTTGTTGCTTTTAATCTGGTGGACCAGGCTGAGTCTATTGAAGAGGAGGAGGCCTCACCGGGGCACACTACCATGCAGTGCCCCAGCACCAGACAGGACTGCAGACAGCGGACAGCCCAGTGATAGTGACGGCATGCAGACAGGGGCCAAGGGCCTAGTGATGACAGGAGGCCGAACTAGATCAAAGCCTCAGAGGGACAATGTTTGAATACCATCTGTGAGGCATGGGGCATGATAAAGGGGCAGTTTTGGAGTCATGCATATAGCCCATAAGGCTTGGGGTGTCCCGTGAGGCACATATTTGGAGAGGGACCCAGCAAGCGGTCTAAGAACCCACACAGTTTAGTGGGGTCCACCACGACCTTGACTGCATAGCACCTTGAGGGCAGCCTCCTTATCTACCATCTATTATCTTAACCATCAAGATATGGCAGATGAGAATAGGTGCTGTAGGGCAAAGCTGGCACAGTCACAGGGCTCTAGGGGCATCATGGCTGTCCCTAGGGAACCCATCCTGTGACAAGTATGCTGGGAAAAACCCATGCTAATATGCTAATACGCAGTTAGCATCTGTAAAAACCCATGTACCAGTGCTACTGTGCAGTCACGCCAGTTACCGTGTGTCACAGAGCACGGAGGTGCTCTGCTCCTAAAGAGGAGAAACTACTAGAGAAAAAGCCCTAGCAGGGAATAAGGAGCCCACCTGCAGGTTGCCAGGGCAACTGGAGGCAGCAAATGACCCACTCCTGCCAGTGGTCAGCTGGCTGTAAGGGGCAAGGCCTGGCTCTTATAAAGCCCAGGAGCTGAGGCCAGAGCAGACCCTTGCCAGCAGCCAGAGAGAAAGGAGCTCCTGGAGCAATGATGAGAGGAGAAGCCTGACCGCAGGTACAGCTCAAGCCGGGTAAAGGATGGCAGCTCTAGGATGTCTGAGCCATGTAATTTAGCCGGGTGGCTTTAAGTTATGTTGTAGCCTAGGGGCTTGCGTTTTGCTTTGTGGTTGTATCACCGGTGGTTTGGGAGAGGCTACTAGGGGTTAGAGGAGGCCTAATAGGGGGCTCACAGTAGCACGGGGACCCCAGCACCAGTAAGGGCGCGGCGTACGGGGTGCATAGACCCCAGCCCCAGGAGGGGGCACTATGGAGAAGCCCCAGTACGGGCATGTTGAGCCCCAGAGGAAGGGGCAGCAGTGCAGAGGGGGCCCCAGAGGAGGGCGAGTGTATATGTAACAGACCAACGTCTATTCCAACTGTGAGGCTTGGGGCGTGGTATAAGGGGTGGTTGGAGCCACGCATAGCCCATAAGGCTAGGGTGCCCAGGAAGCACCCATCATACAGTGGGACCCACTAGGGGCCCAGAAGTCCACGGGGACAGAAGTCACAATGAACCGTGTCCAAGAAGATATAAGGCAGCCTCCCAAACTTATTTAAACAGCAAAGATGTGGCGGGCAAGAATTAGAGGGTGCCCTTGGGCCGACTTGGCACGGAGAGAGGGGGCCTTAAGGAGATCACGGCTCTCCTGTAGGACCCTGCCGTGACACCATGCATTGATTTAGTACTTGGTTATCCAAGTATTAAACTTAATGCACAGTAACTAAAGCACATTAATGAACATGTAGACCCACTGTTACTAAAAAGGTGACAGCTCTGCATCCATTCTCCCTTCCTCAGTAAAAAAAATACTTACCACCAGTTGGCTCTCGTTTCCAATTCCCATTCTTTATTGCTACCCAAAATTGTGCTTTGTTATTTCTTGACAACATGAAATATACAAAACCATTTGATACGGGATTTGTCACTTTGCTATACAGTATAATGAATAAACAGAAGAAACAAAGCCTAGTATCATAACATTTTTGATTTAGAGACTCATTTTCATTCTCATTGAATATGATGCATCCATGGATTAAACAACTTTGATGCCAGTAGCTCTGAAGTGTGGCAAAATGATCCCCTGCAGTTTGGAACAATTCTTGCAATAAGCTTCCAAAACAAGCCAAGGGCAAAATGGAGCCCAGCTGGGACTTAACTGTGAGATGCTCCCATTTCCATCCAGGCTGAATTTGGTTTTCAGTGCAAAATTCCACTCACCCTTGAAAGAGTCAGGAATTGTGCTACAGAACACTTGACATGTGTAATATCATCATCTAGCTTTTTCCAAAATGGGTGGCATCTAAAATACCTGAATCAATTCAGTTATCAATTGTTCGTTTTTGCTTGCAGGACCAACAATGGGAAATGAAAACCTCAACACATGAAAGCAATAATCAGCCCTAAACACACAGCTAGAGAACCCCACCACACTGATATTCACATCAGTTCTGCTTAAGCATAGCAGTTTTAAACCAATAGGAAAAAACTATTTACCTGCTCTGCTCCCCTCTCTTTTTCCGTTTCCCTCTTGCACATTATTTTGAAGTATTTAATGCACAGGAATTCAGAAAAACAACAACTGTTTTGACTGAAATTAATGCTTTTTCTATAGTTAAAACTTCCTGGGATGAGATCCTGGTGCTCCATGGCAGAACAGCAAAGTAGTAACAACACAATCCTTTAACATTCACGCACTTGAAATATTGATGGTAAATAATGCATATTTACTTTAACTTTTATTCAGCCTTTTGGGCTAGCCACAGACATTCAAAAACACCTGAGCCTGAATTGATTCAATCTTTGCAGGTTAGTCTAACCTGGCTAGGCTAAACTAGTTTGTAACCATCAAAATATCCCCTCTGGACGGGAGAAATGCTGGCACATGCCTGCAGTGGCTGAGGCTAGAAGCCGGGGTGCACTAGAGCAGACCTGCCTTTCCAGCCACAGTGCTGAGCTGAGGGGAGGGGGCGTGGCCAGGGCCCAGCAGGACACTCTGATTAGGGAGGGGTTCCCCCCCCTCGCTGTTGATAACAGAGCATCGAGTTACACCGCAGGGAGATGCACAGACAGTTGTTAGCATTTGTCACCCCATCAAACAAAACAAAACAGCTTCTCTCATTATTTCAAGCTCCTCTTAAACAACTTTTTCCAAGGACCTGTTACCAACTACCTGTTGATTAGCTCCAAAAAGCCCTAAACCAACACTGTCCTGTCTGCCTTTGTCTCGTCTCCCACAGCATGGACCGTAGCCAGCATGAAGTATGCCACTTAATGCTGAGAGGTGTTTGTGTAAGGCAGAGGGGAGGGGGGAATCCCTGCTTGAGCAGGGAGTAGTGGGGGAGCAGGAGGAAGCCAGGCAGATATGCTGTAACTGCAGTCTCTGCTGGACTGGCAGCCAGGGACCAGAGAGCAGAGCCCTACCCAGAGTTGCTAAGCATCTGGGGTGCTGGAGGACTCTGATTTAACTTAAACCAGGAAGGGATCTGGAGGAATCATTGTATACATCAGTTTGACCCAAATCAGTTACGTCCGATACTATATTCAACCAGGTTTATCTCAAACCAGTTTCAGCCATTTTCAAACTGGTTTATGTGCTCTGAACATCTGTTCTGTTATAGGTTTAAACCAGTTTCTGATCACTTAAACCAGCTTATGTGTGACGTCTGTCCCTGGCCTTGGAAGAAGTGCTGGCTATTTCGATGCATAACTTAAGGAGCTTTTTCCACAAGAGCCAACTAGGTATCCACAGAGCACTCAACCTACTTAGTGACAGCATACTTATGCAGAAGACATAAGTCAGTGAATATTAGTTGCATGAAAGTGATGTTGTAGCCACGATGATCCATAAATTATGTGACAGGCAAGTATTTCTTAGGGTGGTATCTTTTATTGGAACAGCTACACAGTTGGTCCAGAGTTAGACAAGCTTTCAAATGCAAGGCATTCCTCCTCAGGTCTTAGTACTAACTCATCTTATACTGACAGACCCTCCTTATCAGCTACAGCCATGCAAAGCTTCGGTCGCTGATCAGATTCAGCAGATTCAGCGGCTGAATCAGGAGACCCTTTAATCTCTCCAAATCGCATCAGAACCTTCCCAATCGATTCAGAGAGATTCTATGATTTGGACATAGACACAGCTTTAAATGTCTTTTCTATATACCTCAAGGTACCAGGTGGCTTGTAAATGCAGAGATGGTGGGGTGGATGGAGCATCCCACGGGAGCATGGGAGGATCCCCAGCGCACTCGGTGGCAGACCCGGAAGTGGACCAGAAGCACTTCTAAGGTCCACCATGGAGCGCATGGGGGGACCCTGCCCCTCCACCCCTGGCTCGACTGGTGCCTCCTGGGTCTGGCGGGGCACCCGGGGTCCCCCTGTGGCTGATCACTGAGCCAGGTGGATAGGGGGGCATGTCTCCCGCGCGCTTGGTGGCAGACCCGGAAGTGGACTGGAAGTACTTCTGGTCCACTTCCGGGTCTGCTGCCAAGCATGCAAGGGGCGCCCCCACGCTCCCGTGGGATGCTCCATCTGCCCCATCAGCTCAGTTTTCGCAAGCTGCACCTGGTACCTTGAGGTATGTAGAAAAAACATTTAAAGCTGCATCTATGACTGAATCGCTAATTCTCCGAATCGGCATCGAATCTTCAGATTTGAATTCAGACGAATCGAATCGTGACAGTGATCCAAATCAACCAATCAAATCACTGTCCCCCGAATCAGGCTGAATCCGAATAGAATATGGCCTGCATCGCACACCCCTAGTATCAGCTATGTCAAGATAAAGAAAACATGAGAAATCAAAAATCTAACAGAAGAAAAAAATTGAAAACTTTTTACTAGAAAGAACCTACATTTAAATAGCATGAATCTCTCCAGTTACAAGGAGCTAGGGGAAAAAAACAAAGATTCCATAGTTCCTTGAAACACACTATCTGCCACTGTGGTGCTGGTCATGATTTTTTAGTGTAAAATCTCTTACTTGCACCCTCCTTACCTCCTACATGGACATCCTCCAAGTTTCTGTAGCCAGAAATCTTTACAGTTCCACTAAAACATACTATAGTGGGAATGAAGGAAGGTCAACCTCTAGCCTAGTGAGTGGAAATGGGTGAAGTTTGCCCCTGTGTACCTCCTGACACAATTGGAGAAAAATAAATGTTGTCACCAGTGTCAAGCAGGAAAACAATGACACAGCAGCTACTCAGATGGGCAAAACATGAAAGGTAGCAACATTTAACTGCAGGATGGTTCAGCAGTAATCTTGAAACTACCAAATTTAGAGTACCTCTAGTTCCCTGAGAGCATTGTCACATTCCTTCTGTCCAGGAGCCTGCTGGGTGCACAGAGTGATGAGCTGATTAATACTCTCGGTCACTGCTCTAAGAGAAGGAAAGAAAAAGAGGCATATTTTTAAAGATGGACAAAGTTTCCCTTCTTTCTGTTTTGACCCAATTTATTTGCACACCATGAAAAGAGTTTTCAAGCTCATATGTTCTTTCATTTTTCTTAACATTAGTACTTAAAGAATAACTGAACTACCTAGGATTTGATGTGGAGGACACAGGGTATTGGTATTAATTCTTGCTGAAAGCCTCTTGTAGTGAAAGCTCTCTCTGAAACTTTTTACAATAGCCCACATCTGAAATGTAACCCTCTCCCTACAAGATCTGTTACTCAGATATGAGCCACAAGTGGGAGCTTCATTTCTTGGCAACACACATCAATATTTATACATAAAGGGTATTTGTTGCATTAGAAATCTAAATTATTGACAGTTTGTTTGAAATTGCACTATTAACAGTGAGTCTAGCTGCACAAATGTGTCACTAGCAACTGTTATGCTAGGAAATGTCTGAACACCTAATGCTGCTCACTTCCTGGCTAACAAGCAAAGCACAGCCAATGTATATAAAATATATATATCTTTTTACAAAACCCCAGCTGTAGTAACTAAGATGCAGGGAGATTCCTTATGATGTCCCTTACTATCATAAGAGCCTAATGGGGAAAGCACTGCATTGTATAATAGTTTTAAATACTGCACATGCCTAAAGTTCCCAGGAACTTCACAGGATATGTAATTTGACAACTGATGAAATTCCCAGCGTGCCAGAGGCAGACTGTGATGGTCTGCTTATGCATATTTGAAACTGTTTATTTTATGAACAAATAAAAATGTGAGTTTAGCAAAATGTAACCAGGGTACTCTATTTAACCTGCAGAACACAATTTGAAGATGCCTGTGGCAGAAGGTCACCTCTGTTGCTCCCCAAAAACTCTGCTCTGTGACAATTTGGTTAACATGGTCCCTGCAGAGGGCAGACATCCCATCTCTTTAGGTAACCCTGAGTCGTAACCTGAGCTGGATACATTCCTGAGGAAGGGGGAAACATGCTCCCTCTGCCTATGTGACGGGCATCACATACCTGGGTTGGGGCTTAAGCTCCCTATTGTTCTAAGCAATGCCAACATGACTGGGAGGGGGCTAAAGCCCCTGCCTGTCTACCTGGCAACCAGTGATGCATTTCAAATTGGTTGGCTGGCAGCCAACAGTTGCTGGACTTCATTGGACCAGGTACATGAGGTCATAAGGTCTATATAAGTTAAGTACTTCCCAGGAGGAGGGGCAGTACCCATGATGAAAACTTAGACAGAAGCTGGACCATCTGAAACTTGCTCTCTTGAAACTCATGATCAATGAACTGCTTGCCTCCAGAGGGACTCTCTACCTCTGGATGATACTTGGGAGTAAGCTACCTGAGATCTAACTAGATGTATAGCTTGCAGTAACTCAGATGCGTGATCAAAGGCTACCATGCCACTTTTCTCTAAGGGATTTCTTCGATATTGCTCTACCCTGTACCCTATTCCAAACCTACTCCCTGTAACCAATAAAGTTCTCTTTTGTACCTAGCATGGGAGACTTATTGGGAGAGGGTCTAGATTATGCCTTGGGGTCCCCTTGGTTCGGCTGACTAAGGGAGACCACTATTTGTGTTTCAGACTGAGGGAAGCACCCCAAGTTCTTGCAGTGGGTCAAGTACCCTTAAGGACTAATAGGCCTGTGTTTCCCAGAGGGCACAGGTCCTAGATCAGTCCAGACTCTGGGTGATGACAGCATTACCCCCAGGCTTGTGGCTGTGCTCTAGGAAGGGGGTCAGCCGGATGTGAGGCGCCCCCAGGGAGGCACTCGGAGCCTGGAAGGTGGTCAGGTGCAACGAGGTGGATGGCTCAATGCAGGAGCACCCCCTACTGCACCACAGGGGCATAATTGCAGGACTGGGGAATCAGAAGCCAATCACTCCCTATTGCCAGTGAAGGGGGCAATCATAGGGGATCATGATCCTGGGTTCCTCCTGCACCAGCAAGTAGCAAATTTGGTGTTCATTGTGCCTGTGACTCGGAGGACCAGTCAGCTGATCAGCCCTTCCAGCTTCAGGAGCATGGCAGTCTTGAAGGGTTCTTCATAGATTTCATAGACATCAGGGCTGGAAGGGACCTTGGAAGATCATCGAGTCCAGCCCCACGCCCAAAGGGCAGGAAGTCAGCTGGGGTCATAGGATCCCAGCTCTTGAAGGTGTTCAATGAAGGCACTTGAACCACCTCCGGTGGCAGACTGTTCCAGACCTTGGGGGCTCGGACAGTAAAGAAGTTATTCCTTATGACCAGCCTGAAACGATCTTGAAGTAGTTTGTGACCATTCGACCTCGTCATCCCTTGGGGCGCTCTGGTGAACAAACGTTCCCCCAGATACTGGTGGTCACCCCTGATAAACTTGTAGGTGACCATCAGATCACCCCTGAGCCTGCGCTTTTCCAGGCTAAAGAGCCCCAGGGCTCTCAGCCTGTCATCGTAGGGTCTGCTTCCCTGACCTCTGATCATGTGCGTGGCTCTTCTCTGGACTCTCTCAAGCTTCTCCACATCCTTTTTGAATTGTGGAGCCCAAAACTGGATGCAGTACTCCAGCTGCAGCCTTACCAAGGCCGAGTACAGGGGGAGAATGACGTCCCGGGATTTGCTTGAGAAGCATCTATGGATGCAAGCCAGCGTTTTGGTCGCTTTACTAGCCACCGCATCGCATTGCAGGCTCATGTTCATCTTGTGGTCAATGATGCCCCCCAAGTCTCTTTCTTCCATAGTGCTAGCCAACATAGCACTGC